CTACCAGCTAAACCTGCAGCTCCATATCCGGCACCACCAGCTAAACCTGCAGCTCCGTATCCAGTACTGCTAGAAAAGCTTGAAGATTCGTATTCGGAACTACCAGCTAAACCTGCAGCTCCATATCCGGCACCACCAGCTAAACCAGAAACAGCTTCACTTCCATAAGAAGCTCCATAGTTGGCTCCACCTAATGCTCCTCCTGATGATGATGATGATGATTCGTATGATGATGATTGTGATGTAAAACCATTACCACCATTAAAATTGTTTTGTTGATTAAAATCAGCTTGAAGAAAAGCAGCGTCAACCATGATGATAAATACGATATATGAAAGTTCGTTCGACGATTAACAATAGAATAATTGTGTATAAAAACCACACAAATTTCTGTGTTTATATACCACACAATCAAAATATTTTTTTGTGAACTGTCAATATTCGATTTCTTTTTTCATATATTGTCCATACGTTTTTTCCCATTGTGTTGTCATTATTTTCTGTTTTTTTTTAAATAATCGATTCAATTAATTGTATGGTGTGATATATCTGATTGGTTAGAAAGCAGAGATCATTGTCTATTTTGTGGTTATTAATCTTTTTCTTATTTTTTTGAATTGACAGATGAAAATTGCATTTATAATATATGTTTATAAATAATATCAGTTTTGTTCGTTGTCCTTGTAAAGTATACGCAATACTCCCTTTGTATTTACATCACGTGTGAGTACAGAATAGTATTATTGAGTGTATATATGTATATACATATAATATTTTTACTCATTAATCCTATTTAAAAATTTAAAATAATATTCTCAAGTATTTTTTTCAATCTTAAATTTATTTTAACAATAAATTATTAAAAGCTGAATTGAAAAAAATAAAATATTGTTTTTACGTGATTTAGGATTATTGAAGATCGGAATATTACATAAATTTTCAATTAAATTTTTTCTAAAACAACACTAATGTCTCACTAAAACGCATTAAATATAAATGTATTCATTGTTATTTTAGTCTCATCAATATCATTTTAGAGTCAAAAACTTTGTTTACTAATGAATTTTCATATATTTTTTTTTCTTGAGAAGTTGATTCTGTTTGACATTGTTTCGATCGAGTTTGTAAGATTAATATTGATAGAATCTTAAAATTTAAAAAAATTATATATGTCGTGCAAACATAGTTCTATAATTAGGAAAATAATTCTATTTTTTTTCTAATATAAATCAAAAAGACATAGGTGTTTTGATTACAGTTATCTTTGTCTGGAATTTCACATGTATGCAGAAGAATAGAGAAAAAAATTATTGAAAACATCTGGGATTTAGTTATTCACTAATTTGATTGTTAAAATAAAGGTAAAAAAATTGTTTCATATTACTACTTTATCACAATCTAAGTATAAAACAGAGGATCACCAACATATTCACTTAACATAAATAAATATCATTATTAATAATATTAAATAATTTTTAAATTTGATTTTAAGATAAAATAGAAAAAAACAATTCGATATAACTGATTCATTTCATACTCTTTTTTATTCATTTCAATAGTTATCACTATAAATGTATTCTGATTAGTATTTCATATAGTTTCATTAGAATTTCTTTTTATTTAATCTCTCATACAAGTGTGAATATATTATTTTATCTATTTCAACGGAAATAGTTTCAAATGTAGTTTGATTAGTATTTTGTATAGCTTCATTAAAATTTCTTTCTATGTAATCTTTCATATAGATGTGAATATATTGCTTTAACTATTTCAATAGAAATAGTTTCTGATGTGGTTTTGATTTATTTTTCATATCACTAGTTATAAGGAACTATTTATCGGATTGATGGTAGGATATATTAATAAAATTTTGTTGCATGTGTGCAGCTTGCAAAGATTGAAGGTGCTTGTATTTTGTATAGGTGAAAGTGTGTATACGTTCTCGTTACGCCATGTGTGGGATATGAAGAGGAGGCGTTTGCACGTTTTGTTTTTGTCGTTGTGTTTGCGTGTTAATTGTGGTTCTCGACTATGGGTTAAAAACATTTTAGAAAAATTGATGAGCGAACGATTACATTTCGATGATGAATTTTTTGTTTTTTGTTTCGAGCGTGTGTCAATTTCAGAACGTTTAAACACGTTTTTCCCTTTTTTTTGTCTGCCTGCGTAGTTTTATATAACATCATAGTAGTTTATGTAATAAATATCAATTTCTTATTTACAGTGAAAAAATTGAATTTTTTATCAAGGTAAAACTTTCTTTTATTTATAAGAAATTCTTTACGAGTTTTTTGTATATTTTGTAATTAAAATTTAGAAAAATATTAATTCTCTATATGAAAATTATTACATATGAAAGGTACTCTTATATATCTTATTATCAATAATAATATTTTCATCGTATAGTAGATATAATGACAGTAAGATAATTAAGTGTATTCTCTTTCTTTACTTTTAGATTAATATTCACTGTATTTTTTTTTCTTTTACCACGCGATAAAAAAACGATCATTTACGCCTCTAGTGCATCAGTGTCATAAAACATTTTCTCTCATTTCTCAACCGTAGAGAACAAAGATATTAAGTCAATATTGACGGACGTGTATATAAACAAAAATGCCGTGAATAAAATCAAATCATAATTCCTTGCACCGTTTCTTGTCAGGAGACAAAATTCATAGTCTAATATAAGTATTCTTTCAACAATGTCAAAACACAAAAAGGTTTAAAATACTTGCAGTTGACTTTAAATAAACATGTTTTAATCGGAATAATCGACGTTCTGTGAAATATGAGTATAAGTAATTATTCTTTTAACACAAGTCTTAAGAAGATAGACCAGTTACGTTAATGATATAATCTACGATTCATTATATTATCAATACTTCATTAGCGATATGAATATTGCTACACTTAGGAATTTAACAATACCAATACAGTATCGGGGATAGATATTATCTATGAAAAACCTTCTCATACATGTGTGCATGTTTTCATAGTATTATGAGAACAGATGCTATGCGTTTGACATAGAATTATAAGCAGATCAAGCATTACAGATCTGTATAGAAACCTTTGAATATTATTCAAGATTCCATTTAACTGTATTAATGGTCTTTTCCATGAGATGGCAAATTCTAAATTGATACTAATTTTAAACTTCGCGTGTCAAAATTTTCAAAAAAATTTTATAAATTAGAAGTAACGGTGAAAATTAAGAATATTATATCTACCATTAACTATCTTTTTGAATTCTATCATTGCAAAAAAAAGAGTTGAATACGATAATTTAGAAATAGTAATTCAACTATAACAGAAATAATTTCAACAAATATCTATTTATACTTCATAATATTAAAAATAAACAAGTTGTAGTAGCACATTGAAATTTCCATCTATTCATTAAAACTGATTGAATATCATCTTCAATTGTTTGTGTAATAAAAGTAATAAAGAAACTCTTCTCAATACTATAACTAACAACACTTTTAGTTGATAAAATGAATTTAACTCAGAAGAAATTGTCATTTTTTTCTTTCTCTCTCTCTCTTTCCAGGGTGGTGCATTTTATTTTTCATTTTATTCTATCAGTTTAATAAAAATGGGTTTAAAATTTTCTTTTCTATGACCTACCCAAAGAATAAAAACGAGAAAAAAGGACATTTCTGAGAATGTAACAAAAATTGTTTTTGATGTATTTCATTTTCATTGATTAAAATGCAAATGTTCATCCAATAAAATTGATTAAAATGTAAATGTTCATCAAAATCATCAAACAAAATTGATTAAAAAGAGTGAAGAAACAGAAAGCATTCTTACGATACTGTAGACTATGAAGACGTCTTTGTTGAAATTATTTTTATAATAATTTTTTAATGATATATAGAGAGTAAAATTTTGATTTCTTTTCTTTTGCGCTTCTTGTGATAACGGGGAGTATAAAGGCGTATTTATTGAAATTAATTCCATAATATTTTTTTAATGATGTATGGAGAGTAAACTTTTGATTTCTCTTTTTTTGCGCGTCTTGCGTTCGCTTAGAATATGGAGATGTAATCGTTAAAAATTTTTTTACTTTTGAGGTATTTATTGATATCTAAAGATTTATTCGAGAAAAATCAAGAATTTGATGAAAGTTGGTAGCTACAGAAATTTTATTACATCCTTTGCATTCTCAGAAAAGGGCTACTCCTTTGACAAATATAATGATTTTAATACAGTCAAACCCATGTAAAAATATTTAAAGAAAAATCAAATTATAATCGATTTAAATCATACACCTTTAATCGATTTCTGACATTTTTAACCGGTTCTAATCTGATATAACCGAGAAAAACTCAACTTTTCTTGATTATTATGACAAACTCTAACTAAAATCGATTAAGAATTCACAAAAATTGATTATAATTGATTTTTGCCAATGACAGATAAAAAAATATAGTTCGGTTTTCATCGATTACAATCAATTTTTGTGAATTCTTAATCGATTGTAGTTATAGTTTGTCATAATAATCAAGAAAAGTTGAGTTTTTCTCGGTTATATCTGATTAGAACTGGTTAAAAATGTCAAAAATCGATTAAAGGTACATGATTTAAACAGATTTTTAATCAAATTTTAACCGATTACAATCATTTTTCAGTTGATTTTTACGTCAATATTTTTTACATGGGTTAAGTATGTTGACATCAAAATGTTTTCTTCACTAAATTAACTAAACAGTTCACATTAATATGAACTGCAATCTAAAATCGTTTATATAAAAAATACTGATTTTAATTCTTTTTTCTTAGAAAGTACAAATATACATCAATTCAATAGAATAAACTATAGAAAAGTATCTACTCAACGATTAATATTTAAACATAGCATAGGAATAGATATACAATTGATCTATATTAAAGAGAAAACTATTTAAAAAGCGCGAGACTATAATGATATATTTGCATCTGCATCTCTTTTTTTTCTACTTTGCTCATTGATGTTCTGTTGACTAGCTTTTTTAAACTTATATTATGTATACAACGTGTAAAACTATCAACTATTATTATTATTATTTATCATTCTATTTTTATTTAGATAATCTCTTTCGATATGTTTACCAAATCATATCAAGGTATCCTTATGGGTTTTATAATTGGTGTTACTTGTACTCTATGGTTACAACAGAATTCGCAAATCAAAACAACAGAAATGATTACTAGTGCTCCAACTACACTTCCATCATCTTCGACATATGAACAGTCAAAATCTAATTTATCACCAAAGTTCAGCATTAATTATGATAATATAGCTCAATTCTATGAAGAATACTATAAATTTTATGAATTGAACAGAGAATGGTGAGTCTTATGGTGAATTTTCATGGTTTGAAAAATCAATAGATATAAACCTAAACGTTTTTAACTGATAAATTTATAGTTACCATTAAAAGTTAAAGACTCACTAGAAGCTAAATATAGTTTGAACTATTTGTTACTGACTGTTACTTCATACTTCTATCATATGTATATTAAAAAAGATCTCGTGCAACTGTGAAAATCCGTAGGTATTAAAAACCGATTGTTTCAGCTTATTTTGTTTTTTCCTAATATTTTTGTCAGTTAAGTCAAAATATTTTTACTTTTATTAATGAATTATATTTTTTTGTTTAGGCAAAAAAAATCATTTCTTGGAGTTCACTTTCTGCAAAATCCCAATGATGCAATTACAATTGCCGAGATTCTACATGATCAAGATATTGATCTAGTTATTGAAACAGGTACTTATCGTGGTGGCGCTGCTCTATTCTTTGCTTCAGTCATGTATCAATATCGATATAATGCAAGTACAAAAACAATACGTCCATTTAAAATCGTAACTATGGATATAAATGGAGAAGCAAAGACATTTATTAGTCGATATCCACTTCTTGCTTCTTATATAACTTTTATTCCGCATGGAAGTACAACGGAGATAGCAAAATCAATCGTTAATCGTACGTTTATCGAAATGAAACCTACAAATGTATTTATTTCGCTTGATGGTAATCACTATGCTGAAAGTGTCTATGATGAATTAGTCTATTATCAGAATTATTTGTCAAATATCGGTAATTATATACTCGTACAAGATACTCGATTATCAAGTAAATGGCATACTATGTTTTGTGCTGAACCGAAATTGGGTGGACCTTGCAATGGACCACAAGAAGCTGTCAATTGGTTTTTAAAAAATGAAGGTCAAGGACGTTTTGTTATTGATCCCGCCAAAGAATACTTATTTAGTACTCATCACAATGGATGGCTTAAGAAAATTGCTTGATAGGTACATTTATCTAGATTTTTGTCTTGTTTTGTTTTTCAAATTAATTTAATTCTGTTTTGTGTTTACGAAAATGATATTTTTCGGTTTTAATATTGTATTCATTGATTCATGCGTACACTGATAGATTAGTGAGAGAGAATTTTTAATTGTTGGAACAGTTTTGAATCGAATCTTACTGCATCTTGTCTAACTTGATAAAAAAAAACATTTGAATACTATTTATAAAACTTTCCTAACATATATAAAAAGAACATAGATATTCAAATGAGTTAATGTGAGTAAGAATAACAGCATTACATTTATAACTCAACTATAATCTCAAACGTCCACTTGTAATCAGTTTATTTTTATTGAAAAAAAAGAGATAATTTTTTCTGATATGTAGTTAAACAACAGTTGCCAATGAATGAAGAAATAATGTTTGAAAAGTAGATTCTATATTTATTCGCTGAATCACGTCAACAAAACGTATTTCAAATAAAAATAAAACGAATGCGGTCGTCGGTATTGTCGACAATGGTGACGTCAAAGACAAAAATAAATAAAAAAATTGTTTTTTGAGTACTTTTTTTTCTCTTATGTTGAATTTAGCATGTTGTATGGTGTTTGACGTATACATAAAAATCTTTAGTATTTTATGTTCGTTTACGTCAGTATAAAGTAATATATGCGTCAGCAACCAGACATCATAGTAGGATATAAAAGAAGAAGAGAAAAATCATTTTCTATATTGAATCAAGCAAAAACATGGCAACGAGTAGATCATCGAAAAATGAAGTTCCTACATCGCGTAACGAAAGTAAGTATTCTTGTAATAGAACAAAAGAAAAAAAATTTAATCTGTAATTTTTAAAGATCGTGTCTATCCGGTGAATACCATGACAAAAGTTTCAAGTATTTTATGAACACCTAAAATTTGATTAAAATAACTTCTTTTGATTTATTTAGTAAATGATGATTATAATCAATCAAATGATGGTGGTTTTGATATATGTGGATGGATATTAATAATTTGTTCTTATATTCTTATCGTTTTCACATTTCCAATTACAGTATTTTTTTGCATTAATGTCTGTGATAATGCGTTGTTTATAGAAAACTCAAATGAGATTTGTTTTAGGTTGTTCAAGAATATGAGCGAGCGGTTATTTTTCGTCTTGGTCGAATTTTACAAGGTTTGTTGTTCAAGTCTATTGATTATATAGGGAGAAAACTTTTATTTTAGGTGGTGCAAAAGGTCCTGGACTATTTTTTATTGTACCTTGTGTGGATACAATTATAAGAGTTGATTTACGAACAACAACATTCAATGTTCCACCTCAAGAAGTATGTCTCTTTTTGATCTTTAATTTTATTTGGAATTGTTTGATTAATTAGATTTTAACACGAGATTCAGTAACAGTCTCAGTTGATGCTGTTGTATACAGTCGTATTGTTGATCCGGTAAAGAGTTTTCGATTGCTTGACAAAGAAAATAATATTGTTCAATTTAGGTTGGTTCTGTCACTAAAGTCGAAAATGTTCGGTCTGCAACTCAATTACTTGCACAGACATCATTAAGAAATATGCTTGGAACAAAAACATTACAAGAGATTTTAAGCGATCGAGAAGCAATTGCTAATCAAATGGAAGTTCACTTGGATGAAGGAACCTCATCGTGGGGTATTAAAGTTGAACGTGTTGAAATGTATGTTTATTTACGAGATTTTTTAATCAAAAGTTCTCGTTTATATTATTTGTTAGTACGGATGTTCGTTTACCACAATCGATGCAACGATCAATGGCTGCAAAAGCTGAAGCAAGTCGAGAAGCTTGAGCAAAAGTTATTGCTGCTGAAGGTGAACAAAAAGCATCAAGACAATTAAAAGAAGCTGCTGATGTTATTTCATCATCCCCTGTGGCATTACAATTACGTTACTTACAAACATTAACACATATTGCAGCGGAGAAAAATTCAACCATTGTCTTTCAAATTCCTGGTAAATTCTATTAAGAATCACGAAAGCTGTTTTTCTATTAAATATTGTTTTCTTTATTTTAGTTGAATTACTCAATTTAGTTAGACCACAAGGACGTTCGAACCGAATGAACGAAATATTCACTTGACGGCACAAATTATTTTCACGAACGTTTATTTTAATTTTTATATACTCTCTTATAATAGTATTGAACATGATTATTGCTTAATTTGACGAGAAAAACACCAGTAAATAAAATATTTTTTCATATTTCACTCAATAAATATATCTCACACATTTATCTACATACACTCGTTCTAAGCCTGTCGTCTAATTCTGCACAAGAAAGGATATTTTTCCTTTGCTAGAAGTTAATTTCGAATGTTATCAATATATGTTCTTTTTCCAGCAGGATGAAACATAACTTTGTGGAACCATTTTTTCGTACTAATTTATATTTATGGATATGATATTAGATTGATATTTACAGAATTTATTTTAAACTTAGAGAATAAATGTAACTATCGCATCCATCTATATTCTTATTTTTAATAACTTAATTATGTTGTTTCTATTAACACACCATGAACGTTTATTTTTTGTTGTTTATACTATGAATTAATAACAACAGCAAGGCGTGTTTGAACATGTCGGATGGGTTGATTAACGTTAGCCGCATCGTTAGGTACAACACGATTTTGGGCTTTAGAAATAACATGTCGTAAGCTTAACTTGTCTAACCAAAACTGACGCATTTCTTTCAAAGTAATTAAAGCAATTGTTGAACTAAAACTATGATTTAGATACACGATGAATGTTGTAATTTCATCAATATAAACAGAATAGGTCATGTTGAGTATTGTTTGGAAAAAATCATAGAAAACCCAAGGTGACCATGTCAGAAGAAACCAAATGAGAAAAATCTTCAAGGAAAAGAGAATACGTCGTTGGCTCCGTGAACGAGTTTGTCTTGTTTGATGACTGCCACGTACATATTTCCGATATGAAACAACGCCAATGAGAGATAGAGAGGTGAATAAAATAAGAAAATATGGTACAAATGTAATCAATAAATCAAATGTGTCGTAAATGTCAACTGTATACGATAGATCACAGGTTTCTATCTGTGAAGAACTGTCGAAATGCATTGTTGCTGCCGCTCCAGTCTTAATGATAATTGGATAGTAAAGGCTTGGAAAGACAATAGACATAAATAGACCAGTATAATGAAGAAAGATAGCAAATGAACAATACTGATGACGTGGTCGATGAAAAATAAAGGGTTTTACGACAAGAAAGAAGCGTTCAATTGACATTTGAACGACAAGAAAATTATTGATTTGTGTTGGAATATAATCAAGATAGACGCTAAGATCACACAGAGGCGTGTTTGGTGCAGGTAAACATCCGTTATTATAATAGTAGTATATTTTTATTGGTCCCTGTAGAATGGAAAGTAAGACTTTCACAAGACAAGCCAACAGAAGTGCTTGACTATTGATATTAAAGATTGTTTTTGCTTGACAAATGAAAGTAATCAAGAAAAGGATGTTGAAAATGATTCCAAGAGGAACAGTGATACAGCTAATGTCAAATAGAATGTGATACATGGAAATCAAGTCATATCCAAGATTGTCTTCTGTGTCACATTTTGCAGTGATAGCAGTGAATTTATTATGCTCATTCATATTCATAGTACAAGTAAAAATAAAAAAAAGTGACAATGATGTGATTCAAGTAGCAGAATTTTTTCTTGTTCTTTTTGTCGAAGTAATCTACTTCCTGAATTAATGAGAAGTATCATCACGAGTAGGAGAAAAGTACACTTCCTCCGAAATTAATTTGAAGTCGAGAAAATCGGTTTACTAAAAGATCAACTTAATATTTTTATTTATAACATTTTATTATTTTCGCATTAGTGTTAAGCTATCTGTATCCAAATTTATATATTTTACTTTTTCTAAAGCAGAGCAAGTTATTTTTAAACGACTTCTAGACATTATTTTTTGTCTTTTCTTATTTATCAATTTAATTTGTGTTTTTTAATTTTATAAAGATTATAAAAATACTTTCATTACAGCTTTAGCGATATTAAGATTTAAAAATCTTCATCAGTCACCTGATCGTCTATTTATTTAATCTTTTACCTATGCATAAATATGTCAACAAAAATGATTGTTAAGAACTAATTGACAATTACATATAATTAGAGTTATACAAGTTCCAGTGAACATTGATATATACTCTTATAAATGTTTATATTGATTCAAAAACTCGTCAGTGGGGTATTCAATACTTCTTTTTTTAAAGGTTAAGTATTAAAATTAAATATGATACCACTATCGAATAATTTACAATGACTATTATCTATTTATTATGTAAAAAAGTCATATATCTATCAATGATTTCTTTCAAAATATATTCAAAGTAATTGAACGAGATATAATTGTCTCAAATAAATTTATAATTCTGTTAAGATAAAAAAATAAGAGGATTTAATTTCAAATAGCGAACTTTGTAATTGAAAAAAAAGCTTCTTTTCAAAAGCTGGATGATGATATACATCATCAGCTGATGAATAACACGTGACAAACTATTGAATAAACAAGAATATTATTGTAAATCATCTTTGATTTCAACTACAAAGCTTGTGTAAATGTATTCTATACTTTTTTGAATGGTATTTAATTTAAAATAACATCTAACTTAACCCTATCTTTACTATATTTATAATATCGTATATATATATAACTTTCACAACACAAATAGTTTGAAAAGATTTATTTTTAAACTGCAATTGTCATTTAATAAACTTTGTCGATGCTAGTACATCACTAAAGTTTTTAAATAGATTCCAATATAGTAAGATCAAATTTATTTTATAATTGTGATACGCACAAAGGAGATAAGAAGTTAATAAACTACATTAAAAAAATTTGTAAAATAGGAAATATAATAAGTAAGAAATTAAATTACGGACAAAAAAAAGTACAAGTTCAGGAGTCATTGTATTTAGCATGGATTTAAGAAAATTTGAGCAGCACCACCTGCAGCATTGGTAATAGCGGCATCCAGAGTGTGGGTGTGGGTGAGGATGGGTGTGGGTGGGTGTGGGTGAGGATGGGTGTGGGTGGGTGTGGGTGGGTGTGGGTGTGGGTATGGGTATTATATCTGTATCACATCCATACTCTTAATTGTAATATATTCACACTACACTTTTTGGCTATAAACAAATGTGATTAGATAAATAATAGATATTTATTGTACTGAAACAAACAACAGAGACAGACGAATACAAAAAAAGCAAAAAAATATAAATTGTCTTTTATCTTTATTTGATAATCAATATTAAATAGTAATTTCTTTTAATCTTTCTCTTTCCATTCGTTGTGACATGTATAACTAAAAAATAATAAATATATTTATGATATAAAAAGAAGTAAAACATACTCGATTGATTGCATCTAAGAATTGATCGATTTTTTCTGGAAAATTTTCAATTGGATGTAAATATTCCGACCGCATTATTGTATCTCGTTCTTCTTGAATTTCTTCATCCGTTATTCTTTGCAAGCCTAAATAAAAAATAATAGAAATTATTTTTCTTTAATTAAATCCTATGAAAGTACCTGTCCATCGTTGAAATTTTTTCGACATAAATGAAAAGATCTGTTGATTATGTGGATCGACATTTTCTCTTGCAAGACGAAAACTATCATTAATTATTGAAAGAAACATACTCATACAAATAAATATCACCAAGATAATAAATAAACTAAAACAAAATGGACCAAGAAATGCGGATGCTTCACTTAATTCATGTGCATCAAATTTCATCAACATAATCTCAAATAACATACGTGCCGTATCTAATAAACTTGAACAAGAAGAAATCTTTCCACTAAATAATAAATAGAAAAGAGAAAGAAATGCTATAAATATAATTGAAAACATCATTGAGAA